TCTTTCGCTCTCCTCCGAATTGTGTTTGGCACTAAGTATTTTAGATGCTTATCATGTAAAAGGAAAAAAAGAAAAAGAGCACCCTTCTCAAAAGCCGAAAGGCCTGTGACACCAATATGGACTTGGCAGCGATGATTAGCCTGATGAAAGAGCATAAATGCCACTTTCAAGTTAACAGATGCACAAAAAAAAAAAAAATCATCATTACACAGTGTGATATTAAATGGAAACATTTCAAAACAAAAAAATTATTTCCTTAAATGGGAATCAGAGTCTCCCTTTATTATTCTGATGTGAAATATTATGCCTAAGCATGTGCACGCATTAAAGCCTGGTAGATTGAAAAAACTCCCACTCAGTGTGGGAACATTATCAGGGCCCATGCAGTGGGGGAGTGCCTGGCTTGGAAGGAGTTTTTAGATCCTTTAGGAATGCAAGATGACACCATTATAAGAGCAAACCCATATAATGAATAGGGAGATTAATTTTTCTGTTCTTATACTGTGGTCATCATTGGAGGGCATTAAGCAACAGTGACTAACACCTGTCACGTATTTCTTTGTGTATCTTCCCTCCAGGGGGAGAAGCATACACCAGAAAAGGTGTTGTGTTGGAAGGATGGATGGACAGACAGATTGATAGACAGCACCTTCACTGGCTATGTATCCACAAACACCCAAGCATATAATTTAGAGAAAAATCTGACACCAGATCCTCAGCCAGTTATTGAATCTGCAGTTTCCTTGCCACCAGCAGAGTCAGACTGATCTACACAATGAAGCATTGACCAGTGCTTTTTAGTTGTTTTCTCCTTTTTTGTGATTTGAATATGGCCTGATTTGGACCAGAGATAAAAGTCCCATGAGATCCCATGAGATCTGCAGCCATGGGACCTGGCGCCTGGAAGGGCTAGACCAGATCTAGTGCCTCAAGGCCAGGTCCAACACAGCAGGCCCAGGATAAAAGGCTGAGCGAGAGTAAAAGGGTGGAGGCCAAAGCCCCAGCAAGTGAACAATTGTAATATAATAAAAGCCTTAATCTGTCTGTCCATACCACTTTTGCCCAACTGCGCATGCACCAACCTGCTGTGCCGGCCAAGCGGGTGAAGGCGGACACCCTCTGCCACACCACCTCCCCCTGCAGCCTCCCATGCAGGGGCTCCCCCACCCCACCTCCGCACATCAGAAATAAATAATTAGAAATAAATCGATTGGGAATTGCAATTTAACAGCCTCCTCCAGCCTCCCCACAGCAGCTCCCTCAGCCACTTTTCCCACCCCTGGAAAATCAATTAATTGGTCTTTGCAGTTGATAAGTGGCGGGGCCAGCTCAGGAAAAGCGGGAGAGGGAGGCAGCAATTGGCTGCCCACCCGGACTGCAGGGACCCAAGTTTGTCCCGCTGCCAGGGAAGTTTGGTGGCAGGGAACACATGCCTCCCGCCTCCCTGCCTGTGGGCAAGGGGACAGATCACAGTGGCGGCACCCACCCAGCCCTGATGCCCCCCAGAACAGCTGCCAGAGAGCAGAGGGGAGGGGAGGCAGGCGGACAAGGGCCAGGCGGACACGGATCTGCAGGAAGGGGAGAGGAGCAGAGCTGGACGCACCTGTGTGGCCGCCCTTTCCCCATGCCCAAGGTTGTTGCCCAGAGCTGGTGGCCCCCACGAAACTACTGCCCCCCAGCCCTGCAATGGGCCCAGCCCCACAACACCCAGGACAGACCAGAGCCGGGAGCTGGAGCAGGGCCAGCCTTGGCTGCACTGACGGGCTGGAGGGGATGGAGCCCCTGGCACCCCCACCCTGGGTCATCCCTGCAAAAAGCCCCGCCTAGCCCAGGCATTTGGCTAGTACTGCATTAACACCTGTTAGGTTTGGGGTGTGCTGTAGGGAAGGATTGAAGCCTTTAAGGCTTTACATGCCCAGCAGGGCACAGTTAACTAGAAATGCCCAGTGAGGGGCATGGGATTAGAGAGGCCCAGGGCTGTGAGCAACCTCCCTCTTATTACTAGTATTCCATCAAGGTGTAGCAGGCAAGAAGGCAAGGCACCCTAGGGGCAGAGCGAAGTATCGTCATGGATCCACCAGGGAGTGTCGTGGCTACCCCTGGGACCCTGATGTGCTACAACTTATCCTTCTGAGCCTACTCAAAAGGGATCCACTCTAGTCATGTACTTCTTGGTGCAATGCTATATACTGCCTGGAAAAGTGTGTAACACCATGCAAGTATCTGAAACTGTAGCTGGAGAATATAGTGAGGAGGGGAGGAAGGCCCTCTCACCTCTTAGCCTAGTGGTTTGGACACTTGTCTGTGGAGTAGGAGACCCAGGTCCCTCATCCCTTTGGCTAAAGGGGGCTTGAACCTTCTTCTCCCCATGGGTCAGCAATATCCCCTAACCACCAGACTGTGGTGAGCCAAGCCAGGGGGCTAAGAGCACCCTCTACCTCCGCCTGTGCTGGAAGGGAGGATACCTTGACGTATGCTCCCACCTTTCTACAGATAAAGAGAGGTCTTCAAGGTTCAAAGCTTGCAGTCCTGGCAATGGAGGTTGCAGCAGGTTGGCCTGATGGTAACAGAGCTTCTGGGTTCTGTGAGCACAGCTGTCACCGAGAACCAGCGTGCCCTGGTCCCCCTCCCTGACCAAAACCAATGATGTCTTCTGAGGGGAGCCCTGCCATACTTTGAGGTTGTTGGAAGAACAGGGTACTTTCATTCCCTGTAGAAATGAAAGCAATTTAAAGAGCATCCCATCATACCCTTGAATCATTCCCAGTATACTGTATTAAGCACACTGCTTCCATTGACAGTGAGGAGCATTGTGTCACAACCCATGAGGCTGCTGAAAGTTTCACTTGGAAACGCCCCCCCCCACAGACACACACACAGCTCAGACAGACGTGTTGCTCAATTCGCAGGGGTCTTGGGCATCCACAACTCCAGTTAAAGCCTGTGAGGCTGCAGCTGCCCCACACCTATGAAAATCAGTCATCCATCCCAGACTCTTGCAGGGCAGGGTGCAGGAGAACAGAGGACAGTGAGGGGGTAATATGTGAATAGTAGGGCCATAGAAATACGCCATGCCTTCTGGAGTGCAGCCTGACTACCAGCTGCCTCAGTTCTCTCACTGCAGAGCACAAATCCAAGAAGGAATTGATATCTGTTATGACATCGTCTTCTCGAGGCAGCTCCCAAGGGCACCGAGAGTTGGGAGTGCTTAGTGGGTCAGGAAGTCATCATACATAAACCAGAGCTCTGTGGCTTGGAGAGGAGCAAGCCTCTCTCATCACCCTCTGCAGAATCCAGCTTCTCGCTTTGTGTGTGTGTGTCTGAGTGTGTGCATGTCTGTGCACAGTGTATGTAGGGGTGAATTGTGTGCTTGTGTGTTGAGCTTCTGCATTTATATTCATATTGTGTGTCTGTATGGGAGAGGGAGGTACTAATACGTGCGTGCGTGTGTGTCTGGTACACCCTGGGTGCAGTGCATCTGGTATTTGTGCAAGTCTTTGTGAGTTCTGATGCATTTGTGTGTGTGAGATATGATGGTATGCATCATATCTCTGTGAACATGCTGCATACCATCACGGAGTGTATGCGTGCCTAAAGAGTTTTCATTTCCCCCAGCCCCTGCAAAGTATGATCACTATTTTGTGCAGAGCTGTGTACTTCCCGTTTCTTCCACATCTTTCAGCCCTTTAGCTTGTATTGTTTCCAGCAGAGACAACCCCTGATTTTCTAACCTCCCAAGCATTGGCACTCAGCCCCTCTGCTACTGCCTCTGCCTGGTTTTAGCACAGATCATGGACAGGAAAACAAAGAAGGCAGAGAGAAAGGAAGTGGAAATATGGGAGGAAAGAGAAAAATCCATGGGTCTAAGCTGAACTGTGGCTGCCTGAATGATCCAGTGACTTGTAGCACACCTCACAGGGAGACCACAATTATGGTGACTTACCCACCATTCACAGCTGCCATGAATAGACAGATTGGTGGGTGATGGTCTGAGGTACAACTATCTCAAGCTCTTTTGCTAACAGCTGCTTTCCACAGTGGCAGGGTGGGAGAAGAAGGAAATGGCTGGATGTTACAGTGTGCGTGAACAGTACAAGCTGCTCTTTTTGGCACAATTCCTGATGCGCAGTCTCAGCCTCTGGAGCTGGAAAGAGAAACCCAGCTCCAGAGCAGCAGCTGATGAAGGTGCCAGAGCCCAGGTCAGGGCTGAAGTGTCATCCAGTGCCAAAAACAGCAGCTGGGGACTTAGGACACTTGCACTGTGAATAAGACACTTTCCGTCTTCATGGTTTTGTTTCCCCTCTTTGTCTTATTGGTGGAAGAACTGTGTCTGGAGCAGGTTTGCACAACCCTGAGCACAATGGAGCTCCCCATGGCACACTGTGAAGGAAACAGAGTGTGCATGAGATCTAACTCAAGTGCTGCAAGTGAGCCCTCCCATTGCTCTTGCACTGCCTTACCTTAGCTCAGCAGGTGACACAGCAGGTGTTGGAAGGCCTCCAGATGGCTGGTGCTTGCTCCACATGGAGCACTGTCATTGCCCCATTGCTCTTCCAAAGGCAGTGTCCTTCTCAGAGGCACATACTGGGCTGACCACCCAACAGCAGGCCTGGGACTTTGTAGAGGTTACTAGGTCCTCTCCTTCCCAGAGCAAAGGAAGTACCATGGGCTCAAAGCCACTGCCTGTCTTGGGAACAGTATCACAGTGAAGCAAAGTGACCTGACCAAGGTCATGCAGCAGGTCTATCAGAAAAGACAGAAACAGGGCTCCAGCTCTCGGGTCTCAAGCCCAAAAAACCACATGCCTTCACTAAATTTTGTTTTGGGAATTCTGGGCTTCTGGCACTAAAGGGGTAAAGCCATCGCATTGCTTACCTACCTGCCAATTAGCATACAGAGTAGACAGCCTGGCTGTGCAAGTGACAGGGCAGCTGTGTGATGCTGCAGTAGCCTACAGTTACCTGTGTGAACGCTCATGGGTTTTCACTGTCTCTCTGCAGACCCACCTCTCGTGAACCTGTCAGTAGAGCCCCAGCCTGTCCTGGAGGACAACACGGTGAAGTTTCACTGCTCTGCAAAGGCCAACCCTGCAGTAACCCAGTACAGGTAAGACTGCCTCGGTTGTCAACTGTTCTTTGTGGGCAACAAAGGCCCCTCCTGGAGTGCTGCTTCTCTTTGAACAGGTCTCTGGCTGGCTATAGACCAGCACTAGCTCTAGAGACAGGTTCTGGTCTCCCCTCCCAGCTGTGATGAGCCCTATCTGGGATGGCCAGGCAAAGCTCTAGCTGGAGCAGAGAGCTACCACCATTGTCTACTGAAATGCACCTGACCTTCTTCTCAACGCGGGCTCCCCCTCCTGGCAGAGCTGAACTGCCCAGCGATGGGCCAGCGCTGTTTGATGCTCCAGCAGCAATCCCTTGTGTCTGTGATGTTGTATGCTAATAGGCTTCGATTGTCTCTGCATCGGGCCGTCTGGTGCATTTTGTTGCATACAGCATCTCCTCGGTCAGAGATTCACTGGCACTTTCAAGAGGATTAGAGTCCTGGCACTGAGCTAGCGGAACCATCTGTTTGGGGATGCAACTAGCAAAACATGGGCACCAAATGAATGCTCTATTATGGAGAAGTTTGGTTTATTATATTTTTTTGCATAATCTTTTACATTTTGAAAGATACAACTTCATTAGCATCTCTGTGTATCTCCTAACGATCACGCGCCTGGCACCCGCCTCTCAGCCCGCTTAATCGGATCAGCGCAGAGCAAACCTCAGGCACTCAGCAGAGACTCCAGATCAGGAGAAGGCCATATGGCCTAGAGCATGGATTTTTAAGGCTTGATTCCAGGGTAGATGTCAGGGGATCCTCACTGCAGCATTGCCCCAAACTGGGGAGGAAGATCTTGGCCTGATCATGAGGCTACACAAAGGAAGGTTGTAGGTGGTAGGTCACAATACAGAAAAGGTTGAGGGCCTTTTCGTGTAGATCATAAACTATGTGTAAGTGTTGGCAGTGGGGGGGCACAACTTCATGCTACCACTGCCGCTTGCACAGCTGCCAGGTCCTATGCAGAAATTTGCCCTATGCCCCTCCATTGGTGCAGAAATCAGGGGGAGGGGAGGGGCACATGCCCCCTGTGCCTCCCCCCCCCATGCATTGCCTATGGTGTAGAGGTCAGAGGTGAAAAAGGACTGAGAACACCTGGATTCTGGTCTGAAATTTGAAATTGGCCTTGGGCAAGTCAGTTAATCTGACTGTTTGTCAGTTCTTCCACCTGTGGAATAAAGATCCTCCCCTCCTCCCAAAGGGTCTGTATTGGGTAGTTAATTAATGCTTGTAAAATCAAGGGTCATATGATCCAAGTGTGGGTGAGGGGTGTCTTTTGCCCCAGGATCTAAACATTTTGCTTTTAAACCTGCCCCTCTAAGTCTTCAAGCCCTTATGATTCTGTATGTGAAATTGGTATGCAGAGTCTGCCTGAGTCTGCAAGCAGCCTGAAACAATAGAGCTGAAAAAGGCCCATTTACCCACAGGAGGTGGGGATGCTGAATCCTACTGGTGCTGGATCCTAAATGTCAAAGGGGGTGAGAGGTATCATCTGGAGCAGTGTTGGGGGTGTCAGCAGGCTCAGAGTTCTTACCCAGCTCTTCTGGGTTATTTCATTTCATAGTTTCATAGTTTCTAGGGTCGGAAGGGACCTGAGCAGATCATCTAGTCCGACCCCCTGCCATGGCAGGAAAGAGCACTGGGGTCAAACGACCCCAGTAAAGTGGTCATCCAACCTCCTCTTAAAAACCCCCAGGGTGGGAGCCTGCACCACCTCAC